AAGGTCTCTAACCAACTCTAGGTCTTGCTTAATTAACAATACATTTAAAAATGATTAATTTAATAACAGTCTCATGTCGGTTGATACAATTTACGAAATTGCCAAAACCATCCCCAACATCTTCCCAAATGTCAAATTAGTCATCTTTATATGTAAGCATCCTTCAGAACTTGTCATATAATTCTTTTCCCAAATGGAAGATGAAAAATGTCCCATTGCAAGACTACCCAGCAAAGTGAAATCGGTATTCCCTGTAGATAGGTTGGCTAGTCGCATAATTGTTTTTTTTATCATTTTTTATTTACTACTTCCATAACCTTTCAAAGTCCTTTTCGAATATTTGCCAGAGCTTGAATCTACTCCTGAACTGAAAAATGGGTAAACCTTGATATCCAAATGAAACTAACCAACAAATATGCTCCAGAAATACCCCATTTATCTCTTAAGTGTACACAATCTAAAGAATGCCCAGCTGAAGACGCATTATGCAAAAGTATCCCTTCCTTTCGTACCTTAGAAGCTCTAGCATTATTTTAATGAGGTCAATTTATTTTGCATTTTTCACTTTCTTCTTTTTTTTTACAAATATCTTGAGAGAATTGTAACGCTTAGCTTTCGGCGTATGAAAATGATGTTTAACGATAGGTCTATAAGTGATGGTACCAATTACTGGTAAATGGTCGAGCATCTTTTCCATGCTTAAAAGCCAATCAGTTAATTGTAACTACAATGTTTGCAAATCCCAACCTTGCTTGGCCAAAATAGGGATTCACATCGAGCTCTGTACAATTGCCTAGCTTGCTGGCAAAGCATTTGTTAAATTAATTATTTCATTCCGTATTGTCATTGAAAACGAGAAAGTCAAACGCTAACCAAAAAAACTTCAACATTGCTTTGGGAAATATTGATGATGCTACTATCGTTATATCCAACTCTCAGTTTATAAACATACTCACTCGGAATATGAGTAGTGTGGTCGAGTGCAATCGAAAATGCAAGTTTGTCTCATCGAGAATCCCACCACAAAATGTTGTATGGAAGCTACAGTTTGGCGTACAGATAATATGGCGAAACTGGGCACTGAACTGTCTGATCTCGATTTTTGTTGGAGTTGCTGAGGTGACTAGTCGAGGTGATATCAAAACAGCAGACCAGACCAGCTTGAATGCGAACACCTTTTGGGAAGCATGGCTAAATGACATGCAATAGCATCTTCAGGCCTACTCGTAGCATTTAATCATCATCATCATCATCTTCATTAGTTAGCATTAATCATATTTTGCGACCTCGGCTAAATGGAGCCCTAATTCGAGGCATCATCAATGGGAATCGAACCCAGGTTTTGGTGGTACAGTCTTCAGTTTCCACATGGTGATAACAATACGCCAGACTGCCACGAGTGTCAGTGGGTTTCAGAACAGACGTGAATTTCGATACGCTGTATGGGGATAGTCTCAATCAGGCAAAAACATATCTGTCACTGCAATCGACTGCACTACTTATATTCATATCAGTAGACCTTTGATAACAAATAAATCTACTCGGCCATTAATAGGCTTGACTTCTCCCATAATACGACGCTAAAACATTTTGGTAGGCATCTTAAGTCTACTAACATCACTGGAATCGTACCTACAACCTATTTTGATAGCGATTCCTACATTGTCTGGGACAGGGACATCACAACGGAACAGTTGTTTAGGCCACTCGTCGCCATTTTATTTCCGATAAATCCGTGCTGCATGTTGACAAGTCGGACATCATTCTCGTGTTAGTCTCACTCTATCACGGAGGGCAAAATTGTTCTGAAATTCTTCTTTCTAATGCCAATATTAGCATAAATTCAACGCATATTCTTGTCTTAACAAAGATCATCGCATCAACTTGACGCAATCATGTGCCCGTAATTTCATTTCGTCTTGGCGACAGACAGAATGCGTTCGGTTTGGTTCCGTTTCGAATGAAAGCTTTTGGTGAAGAGAAGACCACAACAAATTTTTCCGATTGGTTTTACCGGAACATTCTTTTCCACGCTGTTTCCGAGGAATTCTGTTTCGATTCCGGTTAAAACATGCTACGTTTTTGTCCATCATACGATACAAATCATCCCTAAAGCCAAGAATGTTCAAGTCATACGCCAACCTCGAAGTGTGTGAGTATGTGTGTGTGTGTGTTTGTGCCTTCATGTGTTCGTGTAGGGACAAAACCAGCATTGATGGCTCAAGTCAATCAGAATGTAATAAACGTTGATGACCGAAAAGAAAATTCACATTTCTCTTATGATTACTTTGAGCCATCGCTGCTGGTTTCGTCAATACACAAACACTTTTTAACCTTTTTTTTTGGTAAGTGGTTTCGTTTTCGAGACCACCCTATTTCGTGTCATGTGAGGAAGAATTGGTAGCAGAATTTGCCCACAATGCTACGAGTAGAGCTGACGTTTTCAATGAATTTGACAGAACTTGGATTGTTGAGCTGACTTCCATTTCGAGTGAATGTGTTGCGTGAAGAGATTCGAAGTTCGCTTCCACCAAAAGGCAATCTCGTTCGATTCCCGTGAAAAGATGCTAAGCTTTCGTCGTCAAGTGACGGACATTCTCAGAGCAAGGTAGCATCGTCACAACCAAATTGGAGCTAACACGTTAAGAAAACTTACCGGCAAATCCCTAAAAATTGGTATATATACTCTACATCTGGCCTCTTTGATGAGGTAAACAGTGATTTGGGTAGTTGAGGTCAGATGTAAAGTGTATATCCGACTTTTTAGGGATTTGCCGTTAAGTTTTCTTGACTCGTCAACTGTAATTTTCTTGTGACGATGTTACCTCGCTCCGATGATGTCCGTCATGTGACGCCCGAAAGCTGAGCACATGTTCATCGCAATCGAATGAGATCAGCATGAATGTTCCAGTCAAGCCAATCGACAACTGATCAAGACTCTGATCGAATCGACTTTGGAATATCTTCACGTAATACTTTCACTCGAGACGGAAATAAGCTGAACAATTATGAAAGAAGAGATTCCTCAAAACCCAACTTTTTTTCGTACATACAACTTGGATTTCTCAAAAGTTGTCCTCATCCGAGCTGAGATGGGCTCCGATCGGTCTTGTCAACATCGCAAGCAGTCCAGCTTGGATGAGATCACAGTTTGTGGAAGCAAGGCTGTGTGAAATAGAAGAGAAAAACATGAGCTACCATTGCTTCATCACCTTAAACGAACTAGAGTGAGCACAACTTGTAACCCATCACTCTTGTTGCCGACCTATCAACTGCATCGTGGTCCTGTTCTGTTTGTACCACTCGGAACGTTTGCAGCAGGTTTCGTCAGCACACACACACACACACACATACACACACAAACACACAAAAACACACGAAGATTCACACAGGCTTTTACGAGTGTAAGCCAAGCAAATCCTTTTGGATGCGTCTTCGTGGTGCGTGCAGTTGTTACACACACAACTGGTCGCCTTGACGACCAGCAAACTGGTCACATCTTCAGCGGAGTCGATGAAGTGTTTCTCAAAGATTGCCTCGTCCTGGACGTCACGAAAGCAACGTGACACGATGAAGCCTTTTTCTGCTCAAGTTGAATTGTGTGAAGTTGCTCGACACACACACACACGCACACACACACACTCGCATCGAAAACGAACAACAGACCGAGTTTATTCTGTTTACTTTCTCAAGTGCCTCGGTTTCTCAGAATTGAATGTGCCAGAAACCCTGTCTTCAATGAGTTCGTGAATTGAGCTGGATCGAGTCCCGACGCGAGTTCTCGATCCTGACCACTTGACAGATCGTCGATGTATGTTGCGAGTGGAGAAGCGGCCTAATCTTCATCGGCCGGCCGACTTGGGACGAAGAAGATGGCGTCAAGTGCCTGCAAGCGCTCGAGTCCGGGGCCGAGTCCCGACGGAAGATGAGCGAGTCGGAGCGGGCGTCAACTGAAAAGGGGTCGAGCAAATGGGGACAAAGACAAACCTTGTGTCGGGCCGAAGAGCAGTCCGACGAGGAGCAGCTCTCGAGCCAGCAGACCGGGCAGTCGGGCGTGTCCGTTGCGTTGCGGCGGCGGACGGGACTCGGCGAGAGGAGGACGAGA